TATAGAAAACATGCAGAAATTCGTTGCTTTTCTCTGGACCACTTGAGTTAGGAGTTGACAGTATCTTAGTGGCATAAATAATTGAGGCTGACAGCTCACCTGCTTTTCTGAAGGGGGAGGAATGCTAGCTCACTGGTATATAAACATACAGGTTTATAAATTGTTCAAATCTCAGTTTCTCATTAGAACTGATGTATCCGTGACTTAGCCACACACTTTATCTCCTACTGAGCCTCCTTTTCCGTTGTGCATGTTCTCACACATGCGCGGAGGCTCTGTCGCTCACCCTTTCTCTATTGCCAAAATGACTCATTTCTGGTTGCCTACAGCAAAGTTACGGATGAAGCCTGCTGGTTCGTTTTTAAGAGAAGGACTTCAAATGGATTGCATGTTTGGTTTGTTGCTTAAAATTTGGTCTAGTGAGGCTTTTTCCCCTGTCTCTGAAGGTTGTCGAGGATGGTCACTCCGGTGAAGGGGATAAGAAGGCTGAGGAGGAAGTTTATCATTGTCCAGTGTGTTTCAAAGATTTTTTTTGCAAGTATGGGCTGGAGTCCCACATGGAGACACATCCAGATAATTCGCTGAGGTAAGAAATAGTCCTGAGAATGTTTCTGGTCACCAGGTGGCCTGAGGGAGCCTGCTGGGCAGGGGCAAGGGCAGGAGCCATTAAGCCCCCTGCACTGTTAACTGCCCCCCTTTGTGATTTTCGAACAGATTTTTAAATGTTTCTGCCTTATCTTATGTTACCAGGGTGCTGTAGGGCTTACTTTTATTATTTTTTGCAAATACAGGAAATCTTGCCAGTTAATAGCTGGGAATGTTTTCAGAAGAAATTAAAGCACCCCTTCCTCCCCTCCAAACCCATCACTGTTGCTACATAAAACTGTAAAATGCCAACATTGCAAAATTTTAACAAGTTAAACTATAGGTGCTTAAAACATGAAGCAAAACTTGATAAAAGTATTTAGGTACCAACCTATGAGATTATTCTGCTTGGGGAGAAGGCGGCAGCTGATCATGAAGGTTTTGTCATGGGAGTGAGTGAAAATAGATGAGTTTCTGGTTCCAGACTTTCAATAAAATGTGTTATGCTTTTCTGCCTGTTGAGGTGAGGAAATTATTTGGATTTTGGCTTAAATCAGCTTCTCTTAACAAGGAAAAATTAGTTATTAATTGTTTGGGAAGGTGCTTGGGTGTTGTGTTTTGGTTCAAGTAATTGCCCCTGGGACTCCTGATACTTTTTTATTTCCTGTTTTTTACCGTAGAAAAATGTAGAGCCAGATACATGAAGACATAAAAGAGATATTCCAAGTCTAGTTTAAACATGTAGAAAAGCTGCTATTTTAGAAAAAGAGATTGTCGTTTGCAGAAGCTTGTCAGTGTTTTAAGCTTATTTTGGGACATTGGGCTCTACTGATCTTTTCGCAAGGGTGCAGAATTCAGCATCTTGAAGCGTCAACACTCCTGAGTACAGTTTCTTAATAGAATGGCATGGAGCAAAGCCACCCCATTCTATTAAATAGGATTAATTCTATTAAATTTTCCAATTTTTTTTAATTAGAAAACCTTGGTAAATACGTGTAAAACCATTTTTAAAATCATTGTAAGTGCTATAATTATTGGGGAAAGGAGTTGGAAGGCTCTTTCTTAAACTTGGTCCAGCAAATAGTAGTTAATTAAATGGAGTTTGCTGTTTCTGAAGTAAATGAAGTAAATTTTCATTATAGAGCAAAACTGAAACAGTTGTTCTCTGGTAAGAGCTCTGCAACCCTCACAAAAGGGAGTCTGAGATAATTTTGCCATATACTTTATGCTTTAGAGAAAGTGGCTGTCATATTAGGCTTATCCTGGCATTAGCCTCATTTTGAAGCTTCTATGAACGTATGACCTCTTTGCAAAGTTATATGCCATAGACCTGAGTGGAGAGGTGAATTCGCTTGCTTTGAGTGCTGGATAAAAAATAACAAAATAGATACCCTTCTAGCTTGGCAGCTTTGCAGTCTGCTGCGGCAAGGCAGAAAGACACGCTGGCTGTGCAAACATGCTGTTCCTCTTCATGCAACTCTTTCTCTAGGATTAGGAGACTTGCTTTTGGATAATATTCTCCTGAAATGGATTTTGCTACCCTTGATCGTGTTGAGCAACAAAGGCTAAAATGTGTCCCTAAATCAAAGCCATGATTGTCAAGCTCTGTGGGCATGAGTTAAGACTGATGCTGGGATGCTGGTCTTTATGGGCTTGTCTAGACGATGGTAAGGGGGTTTTTGTCAAATATTTGCTTTAGCAATTTAAGACATGTCAGTGGAGATAGAGCAGGACAAGGAAGCTGTGATTCTCCCTGGTCAGCTAACACACTCAGACACAACTTGCCCTGTGTCGTGGTTTAACCTCAGTCGGTGACTGAGCACCACACAGCCGCTCGCTCGCTCCCCCCCCGCCCGGTGGGATGGGGGAGAGAATCAGAAGAGTAAAAGTGAGAAAACTCGTGGGTTGAGATAAGAACAGCTTAATAATTGAAATAAAATCTTAATAATAGTGATAATAGTAATAATAATAATAATATACAAAGCAAGTGATGCACAATGCAATTGCCCACCACCCACCGACCAATGCCCAGCCAGTCCCCGAGCAGCGGTCGCCCCCCCCCCGGCCAACTCCCCCCAGTTTATGTACTGCGCATGACGTCACATGGTATGGTATATCCCTTTGGCCAGTTTGGGTCAGCTGTCCCGGCTGTGCCCCCTCCCAGCTTCTTGTGCACCTCCAGCCTTCTCAGTCGGTAGAGCATGGGAAGCTGAAAAGTCCTTGACTAGTGTAAGCACTGCTTAGCAACAACTAGAACATCAGTGTGTTATAAACATTATTCTAACTCTAAATCCAAAACACAGCACTGTACCAGCTACTAGGAAGAAAATTAACTCTATCCCAGCCGAAACCAGGACACCCTGCCTATCTGGTTTAAAACACACCTTTTGTCCTAGTCTAGTCAAGTCAAATGGTGCTGTCTGCTTGACCCAGCCTAGCAGAAAATCCTCTGGTAAGCAGAGCAGTCTGAGCTGCTGTTAAGGTGACTCTTTCATCCCAAAGGAAATGGGTTAAAATCCTTGGCAGGCAGGGGCTGTAATCCCCTGGTTCCCAGGGTTCTGCAAGACTGTAGGATTCAACAAGATATGCTGAATGTGGCACACCATTTTCAGTCCTGAGTTCATGTGACTAAAATGATTCCTCTTGGTGAGGCTTAGGGGTGTTTTTTTGATTGAAAGAGAGGAAGAAAAGAATATTTTGCTAAGAGTATCAGTGCAGGAGGCATGTGCATATGGGTGTGCTCATGGCGGGAGAGCAAACTGCAAAATGTTAGAAGGCATTCATCAAATCCTGGTGTTTCCCTATTATAGAAGACAAGGAGAAAGAACTCCTTAAAGTTCAGACAAACAAAAAAACGTAGCAGCTGTGTTACAAAGAGCAGGGAGCAGAACACGCTCAGTCTCTTTTTATTGCCAATACTGTAAAAGTAGAGTCACTTGATCAGTACTTCTGTGAGGCAGGTATCAGATGTTGTGCATCCCAGAGCCAGATGCTCTTGGGTCTGGCAGTTGGTTTGCAGCTACTGCTTTAGGTAGCCCAGCACAGACTGTTTTGTCATGACCAAAAATAAGTGATGCTCAATCTGCCTAGCTGTGCCTTTCTTTGTAAACCACATGGCAAACATCCGACTCCTTTCTGCTCCCCCAGTAGTTAGTATGAAAATGATTGCGGACATCGGCTCTGGAGCAATGCGGCAGCGTGCATTGCCTTGACAGTGGTACCAACCTCCCTTCGGGGATGCATCCCTAGCCCCAGCGAAGTGCCGGGGTGTGCAGGAGCTTCTGCCTGGCTTCCTAGTGGGCCTTTAATCCTGCCATTGTAGTGCTGTTGTGTAAATACAGCCTCTCGCCCCCAGAGCATCTGTCTGTCCCGGCCCCCCTCTGCTAAGTAGCAGAAAAGGTAAGGCTGTCTGACAGCCCCCGGGTGAGCAGCTAATTTACAGGGTGGGCCATTAATACTGTCAAATGAACAACTTTAAATCACAGGGTTAGCTGTTCAAAGTCAGATGAAAAGACACCCCGCATTGTCTTCTCCAGTACTGCTTTTCATGTAAAGCCCTGAGCGGGGAGCACCTCATTGTTTACTTGCAGCAGAATAAACAATGCTTAATCCACTGATTGTGTGAGAGGGGCTCCCGTCTGGGAGAGTATCTCTTGATTATGTAAAATCCTAAATCGTGCATCTTTGTCTCCTAATTACAGTAAGAACTGCCCTGCTCTTGGGAGCAATAATAGGGCCCTTTGTCCCACTGACAATGGGCTGTGGCACTGCATCTCCTTCATAGCATTACCCCCCCTGGTCAGTCTCTGTCCCTTTGAAGCCCTGGGACCTGCACCCTAATTAGTGACATGAGCTGGTCCCAGCAAGGTTGTCTGCAGTCCCCATTAGCAGTGGGAGGTGGCCCAGGGGTGCTTTGTGACCCCCTTTGCCTCTCTACCTGGATTATTTAAAGAAAACGTCTGCTTCCCCGCAGCTGGGGCCTCAGGACACCGTCTATTTTGGTGAGTTTGTATCTGAGTGTTGATATAATTAGCAGAGCACTGAAACGCTGTGCAGCCAATAGGGAAAATGAGAAACCTCACGGAGCGGGGTAACTTCTCTGGAAACTTTTGTGGCACAGGGTTGCTGTCAAACATGGTAATGTGCTTGTGAAGGTCGCCTGACAGACAGCTCTGAGCAACATCAGCGGTGCAAGCAAAGGAGATGTGAGGATTTCCTGGGGAGAAACCTCTCGAGGTGCTATGTGAGGTTTCTCCTCTTTCCTTTGGCAAGTACAATGGAACAGGCTTAAAGTAAAACGTGTGGCTTTTAAAAAAGTACATGCGCTATAAAATTCCTCTGTTGGGTTTCACTGTAACCAGAGCATATACCCTTTATATTTCCTCTCCTCCTCCAGGAGGCTTCTTACAGTACTCTCTGTAACAACAGCTAAAGGTTTTTTAATTTTTCCTTCCTCACAGACATTTATGCTGCCTCTCATGCCCATGTATCTTCCTGAGGAGAGGAGGAGGGAGGTGGTGATAGCATTGCAGTTACCTCCTTTCTTAGAGACATATTTCAACATCAGTTCTCAGCAAGGATAGCTGTGCAGTTTGAACATGGTAAAAGCCTGGATCTTAATGAGTGTTAAGGGGACTTTCTGATCACATTTGGTTCAGTGTGGCATTGCCTTCAGTTACGGGATTTGTTATTGCTAACTTTTTATAGGAGACAAGAAATAAATAGACATTGCAGAGTGTGAAAGACATTGTCTGCCTCAGTCACTGAGCTGACCTGTTGACCAGAACCAGTAGATGCCTGTTGCCATGAATGGATTCAGGGTAGATTAAGGTTTTTTTGACCTTTTACAGAGCATGTCCAAACAGTGATATAACGTATTAAGCTGTGTAACTTGCCAAATCCCAGGCATATTTTCACAAGGACAGCAAAAGCAGTTCTCTTGCCCCAGGGTAATGTGCTTCTGTAGAACTTCCAAAGAAAGAAAACCAAAAGCCATTCACA